CCGGGTGGGCGCTGGGCAGGCTCCTCCTGCCTCACAGACTTAGTCCAAGAGTCATGGACAAACCCAGGCCTGGTACTTAACTAATTGTATGTATTTCAGAAATTCACCTCGGGCGACCTATGTAATATTTAGAAAGTATTGCAAAGGTGATATAAAATGAGGATCTCCTCTCCTGGATAGTTTGCCCGGCTCAAGGATCATGAGGGGTCCAACCACTTGAAGAAATGGAGCTTCTCTTCCTGGATCTGCTGCTGCTGGCAAGAGCTTGCTGCAAAGCGGGGCTCAGGCTGCCAGCCCCTCTGCAGAGCAGCTGCGAGCCCCGTGGGGCGGTGGGGTGCACACTCCTGATGCACCCTGATATATGGTGCCTGTGCTATTGCTTTTAGATTTGATCAAATCCCTTCCAAACACCCCACAGATCAGTGTGGGATAAACCCATGCTCGGAGGGGAGTGCTACGGGGAAGCCTGCAGCCCCCAGCAGCCCTGAGTAGTGGGGCTAAAGGGGCCCTGGGTGCCTCAGGGCAGGCAGGGGGTGTCTCGGCGCCAAGGCGGGATGCCCTTGAGTGGAAGCAGAGCTTCCTAGGGCCTTTAGGAGATGAACATAATAGGGTGTGTGGGGAGGAAAAAGGGGTCAGGCGTGCACTGCCATTTATGAAATTGGTGAGACGTGAGCAAAATGCAAGAGTAGGAAATGTCTTTGATGCTAACCATACAAAATAACTCCAAAATTAACTGAACCAAGGGCATGCTCCTGCCTGATTTGGTTGATCTGTGCATTGCCAGAGCTCCGTGTCGTGTTCGCCATGCTTCAGCGGCTGCACATTCAGCTCTCCCTCCTGTCACTGCGCAGCGCCGGCAACGTGGCCGGCGATCTTCTCTCATACAGGGGCTGAGATTAAAGCGTATATGACTAAGGAAGCCTGGTATGGCCACAGAGAACATCTTGTTCCCCATATTTAGCCATGGGCAATGTCAAGTAGTATATGTTACATGAGCGCTTTCCTCCAGTCCTGTAGGCCTTGTTTAGAGGTTCACTGTGCATGTGAGAGGCCTTTGCTTTAAAATAATAGTCCTACAAGCAAACATTTGATTTTTTCATCTCCTCCCCACAGAGTTGCAGCTCCCAGATTTGGGGGCCGCCTCAGTTGAGACAGAGAGGGGCCGAACAGGAGAAGGGACCAACCACTGCCATGTCACGTCCCTCAAAGCGCATCTCCGCTGCAGGCTTCGCTAGGGACCAGGGCAGTGCGGGCGCCACAGCACCAATGCAGCGTCACATCTGCACTGCAGATGTGCTAAAAAGGGGTTCATTAACACCAGTGCGCTAGCTCCTCTGTGAAGCTCTTCCCCTGTTTGCAAGGGAAGAGAGAGTTTAGTCTGTAAAACCAGGCAGCTTTCAAGGACTTCATGGGTTTCGTCAAGAGGTAGCACAAACATAACATTTGAATTTTAGCACTTTATAGTTCCACCACACTAACAACTGCTAGTTAGGTGGCTTGCGCCTGTCTAGGTGCTGCTGCCTCAAACCTAGGGCAGTAATTTACACTGGGCACAGCGATGGGTCGGATCAGGGAGCGCTTTACACCCTGTCCCATGTACAGCAATGACGAGCAGCAGAGGAATCAGCTGAAAGCCTGATACTGGATTCCTCTTGCGCTGCCATTCCCCTGTCTGTGCGCTTTCCCAGGACACCCACAGGTAGAGTGTGGGAAAAGCCAGGGCTGTTGGCACAGCCGACACCGTGTCTGAGGAGCACTCGCTGCTCTCACTCCCATGGCGAAAAACACTTCAGGAGAGCACAGCCACTTCTGACTGCCTCGGGGAATTAATGCTCTGAATTGCCTCCCATAGCTTTATCCAGATCCGGAGATGTGTTTTCTTCCCCTGCTGATAGATATTTGTTTGGCCAACAGCAACACTGAAGTTGAAACGTTTGATGCCTTATCCTTGAGTGTTGCTTCCTCAAATTTTTGTTACACTCTGCCTTTTGTGTACATCAGCCTGTAAAACTATCAGTCCCACTCTGTGTTATTAAATGGCCACAGCTTCCTCCTCCCACCCCATACACCGATTATTAATATTAACACAGTGTGTGTGTGTGTGTGTGCTCTGCTCCTCCCACAGCCGTTTTCAATTAAAACATTACCACTCGCCTAACCTCCTGCAGCTGCTTTAGCTAATGGGTGATAAGTGGTTGGTGAACATCAGTCCTTGTGCTTGTTTGGGGGTGGATTGTGTTGTTCCCTAAACAGTGATCAGTCTGCTGCTGCCTCTGGAGTTGGAGGTGGGTGTGTTAAGTCAGACACGTAGAAATCACTAACCATAGTGTTTACTGCTTCCTGTTTCTTATTCTATCTATCTCTTCCCAGTCTTTTTCTCTCTGCTGGGTGCTGTGCTGCACTGGTGGAAGTGGTTGCGTGCAGAGCCAACCTGGCTCTGGAAATGCAGGCCCCAAGGTCAGCATGCAGAACCCCTCTCTTGAGCCACCTGAACTTAGAGAACATGATTTTATTCAGTTATTCTAAGTATCTCATCTCTAGTGAGCATTGTGTTTGTGGTGTCCCTAGCTATAGGCTCTGTCCTGGTGAAGAGAAGCTGCAGTCTGCTTTGAAGAGCTCATCCCTCCTGGCTGCCCCTTGCACAAAGATGTGGGTTCTTGGGAGCCTCTTCACCAAGCTGGTTTCCAGCTGCACTGGAGGGGTTTCTGGGGCTGTGTTTTCCCCCTAAAAGATGGGGTTCATTCCTTATTTTACTCTGTGACTGAGGATAGTCTGGGGATGGGGAAAGGGCAGTGCAAGGGGGTTGGATCTACATGAGTTAAAAGCATGGTTTTCTTCTTAAAAGTAATACTAACTTTTATCTATTCTAGAAGAAAAATAAACATGGTTTAATCTGAATAGGTATAAAACAAGGATGGCTCTAATGGATGTCCCTCTAGGGGGTGAGTAATGACATCTACTCTATTTCTTCTTAGACTAGTTTAAAATCAAAAATCTCTTCCTCGTGATATAGTATCCTCAATGCTGCTTGAGGAGCAGACCTTGATTATATCTGTAGTGCTAGCAAGGACAGAGCAAATTTTATGCAATTTCCTAATTGTTTTTGTATTTAATTACTAAGATCCTGAGCCTTGGGTGTTTAATTCAAGGTGTCTACACACAGCCGTAGAACAAAGCAGGACTATGTATTTCTGCAGGGTTTAGAATTTAGGTGCGTATAATTGGCCAGGGATTTGAGCCTTTTCTGACATTTTGTGTTGCAGTGCTTTAATAAAAAGAAAAGTTAGCAATGAAAGCTTGCAATCAAATAAACAATAAAAGGGCAAAACTGTATTTCACCCTCTGTAATTTGAGCTGTAAGAAATGTAAATCACTCAGCCAGAAGAGAGTGGTATTCAATTAGTCCTGTTTTCTTAAACATGCAAATCCCCCAGCCATGTTTAGCAGCACAGTTTTGCCCGAACTCTGCAGAGAATTCCCAAGCAACCTTTAATAGACGGCCATGCCTTCAGGCTTGTCCACTAATGCTTTTTCTCCTGCCTGGGCACAAGATAGATTATGCATATTATTATTCATAAGTGCCACCTCTTGAAGACATAACCACAGGCACGTTCGCCATGGTGGGCTCGCCCCAGCTGTCCCTGCTCGTGCGAGATGCTCCTGGACCAGCCCCTCCGAACCTCCCTGCGCTCGCGGGCCAGGCGTCCTGGCACGGTGAGGGAGCGGAAAATAGCCTGGGGCTTTCCAAAGCAGCTAAATTAGCAGGACTTTGTTCCCATTTCCTTATTAGAGAAATAATTTCTGCTTTTTTTTTTCTTTCTCTTCTTCTGACTCCAGCATAGGTGACTTTCAAGATGCCTGGAGAGGTGGCTGCAGCCTAGGAGGGTGGGGAGAGGGGAAGGTGACAGCACCCCATTGCTTTGGATACCCATTCTTGGCTAAAGAAAGTAATTTCTCTAGCTAGTATAAGAAATAATAAGCAGAGAGTAGAGAAATTAGAGAAGCAAATGAGTAGGACTGGTTCTTAACTGTCTAGATGTTATTAGTCCTCTTTAGATGATAGATATATAACTGCTTTCCCCATGCCAATTCCATTATTTTGTTTTAATGTGTTTATATATTTTACCCTTGCTTTTTACATGTTAAGCCATTTTCCCGTGCACTAGCAGCGTGCGAGTGTGCTGGTATATAGAATAGCTTCCTATTGCTAGGTCTCACAGGGCATAAGCCCTTTTTGGTTTGCTGTAAAATAATTTTCAAAAAATATATAATTATGAGTTAGAAAGAAGGAATATTATTTAAATGTTTTGAATGCTGATGGCTAGAATTAAGTATAACCCTATGTTTCTACAAAAGGTCAATTGTGATTCTAATTATTCTTATGTAAACTCATTTGTGTTTGAACAGCATAGTTATAATTAATATATATGCCTCATTGCCAGCTCTGTGCAGTTTTGATCATTAGAATCCGGACAGCCTTATTATGTCTGGACAGTCTGAATGAACATATGAATGGACGTGAACCTCTTCAGGCAGATTTTTCTGTTACACCAGTTTTATGATGATGTAACTGCATTATCTTTAATTGCATTGCACTGGTATAAACCCAGGGCATGGGAGAGGAGATATATGCTGCTGGAGCCATGCGCTGCTGGCCTGGAAGGCAAGGCCTACACTGCCCTTGCTGTATTTCTCTTGGAAAGGTCCTGCTGGTCTCCAAAATGCAACACAGAAGTCAATAAATGCATCAGGGCCCTGGTGAGGTCTGGGAATGGGTTATGGTGCTGGGGTCTTGAGCATTACCTCAAGTGCATGGTGTAACCCACGCATGGGCCGGGAGCACCAGCCCTCCCTGTGCCCGCCTCAGGGGGCTGTTTTCACTCCAGCCCCATCTGCATGTGCCCAAGGTGTTTTTCTTGGGTACCAACAGAATAACGGGGGTACAACAGAAATTGTGTCCTGACTCTTCACCTTCTTTCCCCTTTCTCCTTCCTGTGTAGGATGCAAAGTACCCTTGCTGCAGCTTCAGCACAGGGCTTGGATGCTCCTGGTTTGGGAGATGGTCGGTGGAGATGTGTTGCTCATCATGATTACACGGTTATGTTGCAAACGACAGTGTTGTGAAATTAGGTGTTTATAAGAGCAGAGCAGTCTCTGTCCACCTCTCTCGCATGGTGCCTGGCGGCTCCTCTGATCCCCTCCTGCGCGAAGGGCAGAGGGACGGAAGCGTCGCCGAGGCCGGGCGTGAGCGTCACCAGAGGGGCGGCTGCTTCTGCACGTCTGAAAAGGCTCTCTGAAATACCGGAGCGCAAAGCCAGCACGTGTTTATGCTAGATCGAGATGCTGGCATTAAGATGATTATATGACTCCATTAACAGGGCATTATGGCTCCAATTTCACTTAACATCCAAGTTGTTCACATTAAAACATGCCCTTGGCCTGACAAGGCATTATTAACATGCATTTAATAAAAATAAAATATTACATTTAAAAAAATTGAAAGCTGACAAATTTGATTTAAATGAATACTGAACTCCAGGCAAATGTGTTGCTTGAACTCTGCCTGCTATACTGTAGCTGACAGGAAGCATTAAAATAATCCTGAGTGGTCAATATGTGATTAAATATCACATGTCAAGCTTAGCAAGAATGTTCCTTCCAGAGAAAATTATATTGTTAAAAATAAGTGACAAATTCTAAGCAGCTCCTTCAAATCCATAAAGACATGTGAAAGAATGGAGCTGTGCTTGTAATAAACCGGGGTCTCTGCAGGAGACACAGAATATACTGTCTCTTGTACAGAGCCATATAGAGCCTCTACAGGTAATCAGATAAAAATGATTGCACATATTTTAAGCAATAGATTTCCTTTGCATTTGCTATCGAACATAAAGAGAAGAGACATGCTACATTTTCACACCATGTTTTCATCTGAAAGCTTTTGCTGTCATGCTGTTCTGTCTAAAGAGTTTATTTATTCATATACAGACTCAAGCATATATATGTGTGTGTATGTATGTGTGCCTACCTAAATCCGCAGGCACATGTGCTCACAGGCATGGATATGTACAGACTTGCTGGAGCAATCATCAGTAGCACTTACAGAAGGAAGTTAAATTCAGATTTTAAAATAGTTATCTTAATCATTCTAGTAATAACAACAGTAATGACAATAACAAGTCCCTCCCGCCATGAAGTATTTGGGAATGCTAATTCCTAGTGTTATGGTCTGTTACTGATTCCAGCTGTGAACACACCGACATGGGCTCAACTTCCATCGTGTGCTTACTGCAAGCAAGTTGTCGACTTCATTCCTTTCCCCTTGCTTCCACAGAATCAATCCAGGATTACCAGGGTGAAATAAGGGCACTGTCCAGCAGTCTATTTAGATTAGACACTGCAATAAGTTATCAGGATCTGCAGTCTGAGACAAATTACTTGATACGCTTAGGTCAAGAGGTTACCAAAGCCAGGTGAGATCTGAAGCCTATTTATCACTGCCTTGGCTCAAATTAAGTTTTAAACATTGTCAGAAATGAAAAACTGCTACCAGATGGTGTCAAGATAATTCATCTCACCGTGTTAAGCAAATGTTCTCAGCTCGGTGGCAGCAGCGCTGTCCTGAGTTACAGGATGCCTGTCGGAGCGTCTCCCTCTGCAACGACACGAGGGCCCCGCTTGCCCCTTAGTTCTGCACAGAGGATGGACGCGCTGCTGCGTTTTGGGCATCTGCTGTATGGGTAACGGGTCTGTAGCACAGCCTGGCTTATGGAGCACATCCTAGGAAACTGAGGTGGTCCAGATCTGGTCAGCACCAATCCGATCATGAACCCTGTGTACGTCTGCACGGTCTGTGCAGGGAGAGTTGTGTTTGGGGCCTTATGTCCAGCCTTTCCCTTAGCTTTAGCCTCCAGTGCAAGGGTGCTTGCAAACTCTATACATCTCTACTGCTGGCACATACTGCTCTGTGCCTTTGGTGTGGCAGAGGACTAGGCTAGAGTGAAATGAATGCATATTTTGGGTAAAAAAAAGTCAAATAATTTCTTTTCCAATACCCTCCTTCAAGTTCTTGCTCCCCAGTCTGTATTTTTCCTGGCATGCCATTTAGGAAAAATTCAGCATGTTTAGTGGTAAAAGGGTCGCTTGTAAATGCCAAGAGTATAGACAGACTGTTTTATCTAAAAATAGCGGCAAAGTCGGTAGAATGATGTGATTTTTTTCCCCTGCACTGGACTAGTGAAACAGAATCAGAGATTGCCAGATAAAAGCTGTTTTTGGTATCCTCACCCCCTGTGTAGCCTGTGGAGCCAGTGGCAGAGGAAAAATCCCCATTTTCAGCCATGGCACCTGTTTTCCCATGGGACACGGGTCTGCAAGCAGCATGGGCCTGTTGTGGCCAGAGCAGTTCCAGGCTGCCTGGCTTCAGATGCTCCTTTCCCATCCACCTCCCTGTCCTCCTCCCCTCACACTCCTGCTAAGGGGAATAAAGACTTTGTCACCAGGACAAGCGGCTCCACAGCCAGCGAGTGACAGCATGTCCATGCGGGATGCAGATGAGACGGTTTCTGGCAATCAGAAGGATGGGGTAAAGTGGGACACACTAGCAACAAGCAAATTATCAAGCCTGTAAGCATAAAGATTGCAAATGTCTACTGGTTTCTTAACTTATTATTTTTGGCAGGGTTGCATATGTTCTCTGTGCTCATTCCATGAATCCAGCTGATTATTATTCCAATCACCAGAGGAAGAGAGAGTCACATTAATTTGTAGTAATTAATAGCACTGATGCATTTGACAGCGCATGTTAACAAGCCTCTTTGATTGTTTGGATCTCTAACTGCGGCCCTTCTTGTTTGCATCTCCTCCGAGGAATTCATAATATCAAAGCTTAACGGTATCTGATACTTGTCAAAATGCAATTTATAAAAGTTTAATTCTTTTATTGATTTAGTTTGGTTTTGATGCCTGCAGAGTCAGCTCCCTTGACAGAACTTAGCGGATTCAAATGCTTGTCACCAGCTCGGCCTCCTTTTTGCAGGGAACAATTGCCATAGGCCAAGCCAACAGGCATGGTTTAATTGCCATTAATTAAAAGCATAAATCTCTTTTTTCTTCAGTTGCTCTGCTCTTAAAGGGGGCTGCATCTTTCTCTCTTTTCCTGTGTTTGTCAGAACACCTTCTGGCAAGCAAAGTTAACCCGTTCCGTCTTTCTAAGCACTTTCTGGAAGAATCTTTTGAAGCATAACTCTTATGATCTGATGTGAAATGCATGCAGTTCGGTGATATTTAACAAACTGGATTTCTTCTTTATTGCAGTATAATGAGGTCAAATGAATCCCTCCATGGGTTGTATACATGCTTAAATGGTTTCTGCATCAAATTCTTCTTGACAGCAAATAAAACAGCAGCCAAACAAAACATCAGCTACTTAAAATTGGCCGGAAAATCAGAACGCAGTGTGATTGGCAAAATAAATAAACAAATAAATTTAAGAAGAAACAGATAAGAGAGCAGGAGCCCCCGGTCGCGCAAGGGGGCGAGGAAGGCTGGGGGGCGGCAATTAAAGGCAAAATAAGCTGCTTTAATGGTCTTTTAAATTGACAAGTGAACAATGATTTTAGTATCGGTATCTGTCAAAGGTCCTCGGAAATCCGCCGCTGATAAGGCCCAACGCTTCCAATTAGGCGGCGCGGGGCTGCAGCCGGTAATGATGGCCGGGCCCCCGCGCGGGAGTCGCCGCCTGCTGCAAATCATGGAACGGGGCCGG